CCCCATGTGGCTGTGCTCAGTCTGTTGAAGGGTCGAGCACAGGGAGTGTTGATGGGTGGGATGTGGGGCATGGAAGCCCTGCTCTGTGGTCCAGACCTCAGCAGGGGAGGACAAGAATCCAGCCAGACTCACACACACCAATGGCTGGTGTGCGCACAGAGGGGGACAAACCTAGTGACGGTCTGAAGAAGAATAAACTGGATTTGCTCATGAATGGGATGGAAGAAGACAAGACCCAAGACTGAGTTGAGCATGGTGGCACACACTTGTAATCCCAGCTACTCAGGAGGCCGAAGCAGGAGGATCACAAGTTTGAGGCCATCCTGGGAAATCTAGCGAGACTCTGTCTCAAAATACATTTTAAAGGGCTAGGGGTATAGCTCGATGTGAGGCCCTGGTTTCAATTTCCAGCATCAACAAAACAAAAGGATTGAATCCGGGAGGTGAGAAGCTGAGCCTTGGAAGTAGCTGGCCCTGCTATGTGGTCAGGCTGACAGTCCTGCTGACACGGTCACCTCTTGTGTTGAGCTTTGGGAAATGTCTCCTCTGCCTGATGCTGTGGCTGGGTGGTCCTCCAGATGAGCGTGGATCTATATCCCGTGCCCTGACTTGGGGCTGGCTCTGCAACCTGCTCTGGCCAGTGGGACATGGCATGGGACATGGCATGAGTCATGCCGTGGGGCTCAGGAAGCCCGGTGGCATCTGCTGTCTCCTGGGGACTCCTGGCCTCAGTGGCCAAGCATGGGCCTATGAGAGACCTGATTGTGCCCCCAGAAGTCATCCCCAACCAGCTCAGAGTGAGCTGACCCCATAGAATGTGAGAGGGTTCTACGGAGATCCGCAGGGCCACCCACCTGATGCACAGCTGGCCACAGGAGCATAGAGGAGCCCGACCCTAAAGTGCCAACACATCCCTGATTCATGAGCAACCATGGCTATTGTCACATACCACATAATTGCATCTTCGTAGTGTTGGGCTGCATATACTGTGTGGTTCCATGGCTTGTGATGGAGCTGAGAATTCCTATGTAGCATTCTTATTGTGCCTTTTCTATGTTTAGCCACACAAACGGCATCATGTGACAGTTGTCCACAGCATTCAGTACAGTCACCTGCTGTCCAGGTTTGCTGCCTAGAGGCAACCGGCGACACTGTCTGGCCTGGGTATGGTGCACCGTCTAGGCTGTGTAAGTGTACACTGTGATGGCTGCACGGTGGCATTCCTTGGAACATTTCCCCATCACTAAGTGACACATAACTGGACTTATTGTGTGAAGGTACTGAGAAAGCATGGAAATTGCTAGAACCTGTCTGGCACAGAGCACTTCCTTCCTAGATGGTCTGTCAATGCTGTGTGCATGAGGCTCCCTGCATGGTGGCTGCCAGGTCCAGAGGGGACAAAGAGCTCTGACTTGATGTCCAGGATGGTGGGGAGATATAATCGGTGGTAGGCAGGGTGTGGGCTGGTCTGGCCAGCACTTGGAGGCTTGTGGGGCTGGGTGGAGGCAGGGAGACCTGGCAGGAGGTGTGGCACTCTCCCAGGGTACAGGCAAGGGCCAGTTGGGGAGGGCAGGTGGGTGGGCAGTGGGGGAACTTGTGGCCTGCCCTGGGGAGGAAGTGCCACGCCACGGTGTCCTGCTGAATGTGCCCCGTGACGGGGAGGAAGGAGTCCACAAGGACAGTCTGTGTCTGTCTTGGGCAGCCTGTGTGGTCCCTTTTCTCCAGCTTCAGCCTCTGTTCCTGGTGGTGAAAGGCCCAGGACCAAGTGTTTACTTGGGACACTTAGGTTCACAGCCCGATTCCTCCTTTCCGGGTGGTGAAACATGATTTCTCTGAGACGGGCCATCGCCTGTGAAGTGGGAGCAAAAGAGGCTGAGGAAAGAGATCTTGGGCTCCCCTCTGTGTGCAGGGGACAGCTGCGTCTCTGTGGAGAAGGGCTATGCCTCAGCACTTTCTCCTCCCAGGTCTTGCTGGAGGGTTCCCCTGGCAGCTGTCCATGTATTTGCCTCCTCCCCACCTCTCCATCAGCCCACCTCCCACTCACCCACCGGCCCATTTGTGTACCTATTTATCCACCCATCTGTCGATCCATCCACCCACCGTCCCTCCATCTATATTTCCTTTTTCCTTCCACGTATGCATCCATACTGCCTGCTTCCCTCCCTCCCTCCTTCCATCCCTCCGTCTATTCATTTCATTGTTCCTTCTGTGTTCACTTACCTAGGCATCTGAAGAAAGGCTCATGCTGCAGAATGGTTCAGGGCACCAGTTCATCCCTTCAGGACCCTTGGGAAAGCTGTCGGCTCTCCCTGGAGCCTCTTGACCTGTGTGTGTGTGTGTGTGTGCGTGCACGCGAGCGCGTGCGTGTGTGTATGTAGGAACTGTAGGAACTATATTCCTTCCAACCTTCCTTCCCCTAAATTATTTCCTGACTTGGTACACTGCACTGGTGAAAGGTCATCCCCAGGACCTTGGGCCTGGTGTCCTCACTGCTGGGCATGCTGTGCTCACTGCTGGGCATGCTGTGCAGCCTGGAGTAAAGCCCTGCCTCTCTCTGGGCCTCAGTTTCTCCATCTCTAAAACAAGAGGTTTGGCCCAAGTCAGAGTCTGTAGCTGGTGGCCCAAGGGCCAAGTTCAGCCTGCAGTCACGTTTGTGGTATGCTCGTGCTGTTTATCAATATACTGAAAAAGTGGGAGATTTTCCTTGGAAACACAGGCAGGCAGTCATTCACAGAATCTCAGAGGATTTGGCCACGAGGGGCCCACATTCCCATGTGGTGACAGTGGCCTTGGTTCGAGCAGCTGAGTTCCAGAACCTGCTTCCTCCTGGCACCAGGCCCATGTGCTTTTGACGCTGTGGTCCTGCAATTCTGCCCCATAAGATTCTCATCTTTTTCATGACACTGTTATTGAAAAGCCGCTTTAGAACAGGAACAAGGGGGAAAGGAAAACCTTTACTCAACAAAGAGCCAAATATTTTTTACCCTAAGTGTGTTTGAAGAATTCTGGAATCATGGAGAATTATAGTCATAGCAACAATAATTAATAATAATAGCATTCATCCATTATTTTACATCGCCAAGTGCCACGCAGTCATGGCTGGAAGACCCTCCCTCTCCCCTGAGTGGCAGGTGTATTATTCTGCTTTTACAGAAGGGGTAAGTGAGGCACAGCTCGGAGCACACTGGCTGGGCACCGGCTGAGCACGCAGAGGAAGGGCAGCCCCTATGGCTAGATGATAGGCAGCTTCCCCAGCCTGCCTTCCTCAGGCCTGGATGCTCCCTTCTGGCCCTGTCCTCCCATGGGTGGTGAGGGAGAACATGGGCAACTTCTCTGAGATCCCATTTACGAAGCTAACAGTCATCTGGGGAGGTTAGTCAGAATCTGCCCCATTCCCAGGAGCCAACAAGGCCAGGAGTGGAGGCTTGGAAAGGCCCCGCTCATGGGAGGCACTGTGGGTTCTCCAAGGAGGAGAGAAGACATGACAGGGGGTTTCAAGGAGCTCTTGCATTCTTTCTTCTCATTTATTCATGTACCCACCCATCACCCACCCATTCATGTACTCAGTCACTACCCACACATTTACCTACCCACCTATCCAGCCATCTACCTACTTACCTGTCCACTCACCACCTACCCAGGCACCTATATACCCTCCTATCCATCCACTTATCCACCTATCTGTCCATCCATCCATCCATCCATCCATCCACACACATACACATCCATCCATCCATTCGTCTATCCATCCACATCCACATTCATCCACACACACACATCTCCATCCATCTATCCATTTGTCCACCCATCCACATATCAATCCATTTGTCCATCCATCCATCCATCCATTCACACCCATCCATCCATCCATCCATCCATCCATCCATCATTCCATCCATTCCTCACTGCCCATTCATCCACACACCACGTAAAGGAAATATGAAGAAATATAGCCAACCAGCCATGTTTATTTGCCAGTGACCCAGACCCAGTGCTGACATCGGGAACAAACGCGGCTTAGATGCTCAAGGGCTCTTAGCACTCAGGGCTCATGGGACTGTGATCTCAGAGGCATCTGAGTTTTACCTGTGGCTGTGGGACAGAGTTCAGAGGCACTATCTCTTGGTGGCTGACCACAATCACCGAAGTCCCCTGCTGGCCACCTCATATGCGCGCATGGATCCCCCCTCCCTGGTGGGGACACTCCTAGGACCAGCAAGTGCTCAGGCACACAGCTCCATGCACATGACCTGCTCTCCTTTGCAGGGGCACATGGAGACATAGACATGCGCACACACACACACACACACACACACACGAGCACACTAGAGGTGCTTCAGGGTGTAGTCATGTGACAACCTCAAGACATTCAAAAGTCATGCGAGTGCACGTGTGTATGCATGTGCACACACAGACAGAGATGCAAACTGACACATAGGATGGCATCCACAGCCTCCTGGAGGACAGCTTTCCAGGTTGAGAGGCCCTGGGTGTGGCCAGGCCAAAGCAGAGAGGCTGTCCCTCGCCTCTCCTGCCAGTCCCCCCAGAACAGGACTGCAAGCCCCCGGGCCTCAGAGCTTGTGCGCCCCTCCCCTGCCTGCTTTCCTCCCCTCTCTGAGGACACAGGCAGTGGCAGGGACGTCCCGGTGAGGTGCAGGGGTCCCTGAGCTGGCCTCTGCCTGAGGCTGATGGCCAAGTGCCCGTGATGGTCACACAGTGTAGAGGGCGCTGGCACATGTGCCCGAGTGGCTCACCCCGAGGTTCGCCCTCAGGGACCCTGCCCAAGGCCCTGAGCTTCACAGGCAGAGCCTGGGATTGGGTTTCTTCTCAGTCAGCATGGATGACGCCCTAACCCTGAGCATCTGGGGTGTGCTCTGGCCCCCTTGGCAAACGACTCCAGAACCCAGCCGTGCAAGGGTCCCCGTGGGACCTGCCCACCTGCCCTGGCCACACCCCTCCCAACCCCCTTGAGGACCAGCATTAAGAAGACACACAGGCTGTGGGATGATACAGCAGACTCCATATAAATAAAATATTCTTATAAAAATAGTCTCTTACAAAATATTCTCTCTTATCCAGTGGCTCACTTTCCAAATGGTGAAAACAGTTGGGAGTTTATTCTCTCCTCTCTCTCTCTCTTCCAAAATTGATTTTTTCTAATGGCAATGTTTGAACTGGGGAGGGTGGAAGGATGGGAAACGTATTCTGGAAAACAATGTCTCAAATCTGGACCAGCTTCAATTTCTGGATAAGTAGCAGCAAATAGCAAAAAAACACAAGTGTGTATGTGTGTGTGTGAGTGTGTATGTACCTATATGGGTATAAAGTATAAAGGATGTCTGCTCATTGTACTTAAACGTCTAGTGCTGCAGGGGGAAGATACTTGCAAAATCAACTAGTAGAAACATCTGGATAAAGAATCATTATGTACAGTTTTCTACTCGGCTCCAGGTTCTAGCAACACAAGTCATCCCGCCAGGAAAGCACAAGTCCACTTTGATTGCAGAAAACGGGTCCTGACGAGATGGAGGAATTCTTTTTAATTAAATAAATTAATATTACTTTTTAATCAGAATAAATTGTTAAATATTGCTATGATGAGGCCCGAAGGCCCAGAGTTCCAGCGAAAGGCTTCATTCCAGCCGTGCAGGGGCCTGGGCGGCATCGGGGAGGAGGAGCAGCACTGGACACGGATATGGAGCGGAACAGGCGAGGGCCCGAGGGCCTCCTCCCGCAGTGTCTGCCGGAACCGGAAGCGGGGCCCTCCTCAGCAGGAAAGACAAGCTCAGTGTTTCTGTAGCTCCCTGTGAAGATCAAGGCAGTGACCCAGGAGGCAACAGCAGCGTGGAGACTGTCTGGGCCTCCCACACCGCCCTGAAGCCGGGGCTCGGGCTGTCCCGCTCACTTGCACGTGTACATCTCTGTGCGCTCGCTGCACGTGTTGCACTTGACGTAGCAGCACCAGTGGAATTTGCAGTTGCACTGCCACACGCGGGCGTACTGGTGGGTGTTGTAGCCACGGCCGCAGCACATGAGGTCACAGCCGCTGGCCTGGGGGCCCGTCTTGTTGCAGGCTCGGCCCTGCGTGCCCACGCTACCTGTCACTGGGTCCTCCTCGCAATAGTTGGGTGACTTCTCAATGTACACCAGGTCGGTGTCCATGGGCTTGCGGTAGGACAGGGGCTTCTTGATCTTCAGGAAGGTGGGCCGCTTGTTGCGGCTGGCGCGCACGGGCTCCACGTGCACAGCCTCATTGTACTTGTCCTTGAGCACGTAGCCCAGCTCCCGGAACTGTGGCAGCGTGGTCCAGCACGTCTTGGTGGTGCATGAGCCTGACACGCCATGGCACTTACACTCCAGCTTCATGTTCTCCTCCAGGATCTGCAGGTCAGGCACGGAGAGCACAGAGACATCATTGCATGCACCCCTCACGCAGCCCCTAGACCCACCCGCCCTGCTGCCCTGCTGGCTGACGTGGCCTGGGTCAGTCTTTACGATTCCCGAGACTCAGACCTGGATTCCAGCTGCTCCCTCCCCACCCAGTGTAGGTGCTGGGCCTGGGCCTGGAACTTGCTTACTCCGCCTGCCTCTCAGCACAGCTGGGGCCAGAGCACATGTAGGTTCTCTTCAGCTTGCATAGGCCTAAGATCAATTTTGGGGGGGGGGGTTCTAGCAATTGAACCCAGGGCCTTTGCACTGAGCTCTATCCCTAGATTTTTAATTTATTTTTAAAATGTTGAGGTAGGTTCTTACTAAATTGCCAAGTTTTCCAGGTTCTTCTTGAACTTTCGATCTTCCTGCCTTAGCCTCCCAGAGCATCAGGTTTACAGGTGTGAGCTACCACACCCAGCTCTAAAATCAATTTTGAACCTGTGTTTCAAAAGCAAGAGAATTTACTTTAAAAGACAGACTTTCAGGTTTTCTTGGGCAACTGGTAACACTGGGTAACAATCAAAATGTTTCATATCTGGTGCAACTGGGCACTGATCTACCAGCATGGAGCTGTCCGAAAGACAGTGTGACTACACTTGTGTCCAGCTCGCTGTGCAGCGTGGGGGATGTGCAAGTACATCACAGATGCCACACGCGTGGCTGTGACTCGGCATTCCACTCTCCAGGCATGGACCCCGGAGAATCATTCTGTGCACACAAGAAACAGGCTCAAGAGATTCACTGCCACCATGCTCCTAACAGCTTCGACCTGGGCACCGTCCACACGCCGGTCCAGGGAAGAATGGATGAACATCGGTACCTGCGCTTGAGGGGACGCAGTGGGGCAGTGACAACGAAGGCAAACCACACAGACAGGAATCAGCCTGAGAAATATATCATGGAGGCCAGGTATGGAGGCACATGTCTGTAATCCCAGCATTCTGGGAGCCTGAGGCAGGAGAATCACAAGCTCAAGGTCACCCTGGGCAACTTAATGACTTAGTGAGACCCTGTCTCAAAATAAAAAAGGGTGAGGGATAGAACTCAGTGCAAAGGGCCTGGGTTCCATTCTCAGTATAAAAAAGAAAAAGAAAGAAAGAAAGAAAGGCAGAAAGAGAAAGAAGGAAAGAAAGAAAGCCAGCAGGGAGGCAAAGAAACTAGTCATCAAAGACTTCCGTAGAATGGTTTCACTGAATCAAGTTCAAAGGCAGGCAAAATTGGATTGTATTGTTCAGGAGGAGCCCATCCAGGGGGAGACTAAGATTAATTAGAGAAATGAGGATGATGAATATCAGAGCGGAGGGGCCATGGTTGGCCAGGGTCACCCAGGGGTCTCCTGATGTGGGAGAAATGTGCTGCTCTTTGATGTGGATGGTGGTTCCACGGATCATGCTTTGCAGATATTCTTTTAAGCAAACATGGATGGACGGTCTCTGTACTTTTTTGCACAGAAGTGGTAGCCTGCAATATATAAAAATGTGATAGGCAATAGTAGCCAGTAAGCTCATGAAAAGATGCTCAACATGGTGAGCCAACAGGGAGATACAAATTGAAGTCACAGCGAACTCTTTCACACTCACGAGGACGGGAGACATGAGACAGACCACCACCAGGGCTTGGAGGTACAGAGATGAGGACCCTCACACTGTGCTGATGGAAAGGGGGCTGGCGCCCTCACAGTGGAAAACAGCTTGGCAATTCCTCAAAATGTGAAACACTGGGTTAACCCCGACCAATGGTTCCACTCCTTGATATCTTCCCAAGTTAAATGCAAATGCATGTTCACAGCAACATTGTTCGTAATAGCTAAACAGAGGGGAGGGTGACAAATGTCTACCAGCTGAAGAGTGGATGAACAAAATGCAGTGTAGCCATACAATGAAAATTTTGTAAAATTTATGTAACCTCATCCCAGGAAGAATGGGCTTTATCAGAAAGACTAAAGTTAACAAGAGCTGTCAACGATGTGGAAAGGAGGAAACCCTGGTACCCCATTGGTGGGGATGTGTACGGGAATAGCCATTTTTACGGAAATTCCTCAAAAAATTAAACTGAGAGCTGGCCTTGGCACTGCTGGGGCCATATCCAGAGGAGATTTGCAGAAGGGGTGGCTGCACCCCATGTTCATGCGGCAATGTTCACAACAGCCAGGAAACGGAAGCCATCTAGCGCCCATCAGCTGAGAAATGGATAAAGAAAATGTGGTCCCTATGCCCTGCACAATCTATTCAGCCTTAGGAGGAGTGAGATGCTGTCATTTGCAACAATGTGGATGGAAGTGGAGATTATTACATGAAGTCAAATAAGCCAGGCTCTGAAAGGCCAGGCGGAGCCAAAGGCCTGCTGGAGAAGCCCAAACTGCTGGTCTCCCGAAGGCTAAGAGCAGAATAGTGATCTCTAAGGCAGGGAGGGTTGGGGAGGAAGTGGCAGCCACTAAGTTGTAGTTAGGTCGAGCAGCAAGTTCTGCTACAAGTTCCGCAGAGTGGAGTGACTAAAGGTGACATACTGCGTCTTTGCATAAGTCGGAGGGACTCTGAATGCCTTCACTAAAACAGTTAAATGGCTGCACTGCATGATATGTGAATTATACCTCAATAAAGTTGTTTTATTTAGAAAGGCAACAGGGAGCCTCTGAAGGTTGAAGTGAGAAAGCAATGTGAAGGCAGCGTGACCTGCAGGTCTGTGCTCTCAAATGTCACTGCTGCTGTGAGCCGGGGCGGTTGGTGATCCCGGTATGGAAGGCTGGATTGGCGTGGCTGCCACTCACTCCTGCCCTGGGCAGCATCCCACCCCCTGAGGTCTCCCTCTTCCTCCGTGGCCACCGATTGCCTGAGGCTGCAGTGGCATCGAACGGCCCCGAATCAGGTGACAGCCAGCCTAACCCTGCTGACTCTGCGATCTGACAGCCTCAGTGATCCCATGATGTCTGCACTAAGCTGGCCCTAATCATAGTGGCCTGGCCAGGGCTGGTCACCCAGCAGGGACCCAGCCTCGTCCCTGAGCCTGAGGACAGGAAGTGTGTATGGGACTAAGCAGAAACCTCTTTGTCCCAGCTCCTGCCCTTCCAAGCCTGACAGATTCCAAGCTTTCTTCCTGCCCAGAGAGCTTGAACCCTGTGGGTCAGTTCCTGGGGTTCTGGAGGCCCTAGGATGCCCACGCTGCCCCTTCCCAGGGCCTGGCACCCCTCAGAGTGCATTCAGACTGCTCCACAGCTCTGGCCCGAGCAGTCACCTGTTAGATGTTCAGGCCCCGGGAGCCCAGCTGGGGTGCCCAGGCATCAAGCCTGCATTGCTGGGGTGGGCGGAGTGACATTTGGGGGCGACTGCGGGTGGGGCGAGGGTGCCAGCACTCTATGTGGGTGGCTGTATCTCTGGGTCCCAGGTTAAAGATGAGCTGCAGGGGAATGCGGGGCTCTGCCCTTTCAATCCTGTCACCCCACAGGCCCCCAGGGCAGAATGACGATCGGGAGAGGGTAAAGGCATGAGTCCAGAGGGTGTGCAGCTGTGGAAGGTTTGGAGGGAGACTGAGGCGGGACGAGCTCTAGGGTTACTGTGCCTGCTGGGTCCTGCCGGGCCCCACAGATGGCTGTGTCCCCCGGCAAAGGTCACGACTCCCTGGGTCCCGGGCTGGAGGAGTGACGGTGCCCAGCGTCTCTCTGTCAGCTACAGCTGCAGCATCAGCCCTTTCGGCTCCAGTAACTTTGACCTGTTTGACTCGCAAACCCATCGAGTAGCTTTGTTACAACACAACTCATGCACCATCCGGTTTCCCCATTTAAGCGCACAACTCAGTAGTTTTCCTTGTATTCCCAGAGTCCAACCATACAGCATTTTTGCTGCCCCCGAAAGCAACCCCCTACCCTTTAGCAGTCACTCCCCATCTCCCCTCTTCCTGGCCCGAGGCAGCCCCTGATGTACTTTCTGGCTCCATACGACTGTTCTAGATGGTCCTATAAAAGAAGTGGCACAGGGTGGGACCAGCTTCCAGGTGGCTCACGTGGGCGTTTGTCAGACTCTCCTCCCTGCCGTGGCTGAACAGTGCTCCAGCGCTCTGTGGCGTGGCAGGAGAGGCCTGTTGCACCTCACCACAACCGGGCTGTGGCAGTGTCTCGAGCTCAGCTTCCTTTCCCAATCCGAATGCACCAAGACGGAGCCCTGTCCCCAGCCCCGGGCCATGCTTTTCCCAGCTCAGCTTCACCGTCCCACACCTGTGGCTCTGCACCTGCTCGGCCTTATCTGGAGGCCAATCTTTATCACCCTGCATACAGTCCCAGCAGACCTTCCACCCAGCAGTTCTGCTCCTGCTTCTGTACCCCGCGGGGAGGCTCGCCCTGTGTCACACTGTATCTGTGATATCAAAAGGCCACAGGAATTTAAAGATCCATCACCGGACCGGTTATATCAATGCAGACAGATCTACCACTGCAATGGTCAGCAGCCATGAGCCTCCATCGGGATGGGGAGGCTGGTTAGCAACTGGCAGAACGGATCAGCAAGAGATGTTAGGGGAACGGAGTCAGGTGTGTAGGGTCCGCAGTGTGCTCCTGTCTGCACAAGGAAGGAAAGGTCTGCTGTGATTCCAGCATTTGGGAGGCTGAAGCAGGAGGATTGCCAAGTTCGAGTCCAGCCTGATCCATTTAGTGACTTAGTGAGATCTTGTCTCAAAGTAAAAAAATGAAAAAAGGTCTGATGATGCGGCGGAATGAGAAGGCTCTGGGGTCAATCTCCAGTGCCACAAAAAGAAAAGAAAAAAAGAAATAAAAAGGCTTGCTCTTGCTCATGTGCATGCCTAAGAGGGGCTTCAGGATGGACAGGGGCTGCCCCTTGGGCTTCTTTTCTTTTCAGTGTTGGGGAGGGGACCCAGGCCTCATCCCGGAGAAGTGAGACTTCCACTATTAAGCCACACTCCCAGCCCTAGACCTTTTGGTTGTTTGTTTTTGCGGGAGCGCC